CCCCCCCCGAATATAGCAAGGTTATAATGCCATAGAGCACGTCAAAGTGGCAACGCTGGGAGAGCCCATGCAAGGTAAAGGAGCCGCCCCATAGGCACTGCACATAAGAAAGAGACAAAAAACAATGAAGTGGTAAGGTATGTTGCTACGTTTTTCTATGGAGGGTTTGATAACGCTTTCAGTGCCATCCCATCTTGACATGATATCCCCAAGTGCACCATTGTCCTTTTTAAAGCCTTCACAATATCTGACCATGTCTCATTGCAACTTACATATAGAGATCCATCGGAAACTCCTTCATCATGTGGGTTACTATGAATTCCACCATCAGATCTGAAAGAGAGCAGGGAATGAGTGTCTGACACCGATCACTGCCACCCTCCTCCTCCCCCCACATTCTTTAATAACTGCCATTAAAGCAGGTCACCGGCACCATCCGTAGCAGGGCACACTGGGGTGGGCTTACTATCCTGGCGGTAATACCTATGGTTCTCCGCTCTGATTTACTCGAATGAATGAAGACAAATCAAAAGGACAGGATTACAGCTCTAAATTCCGGGCTTTCATCAGTGTGGAAAAGGATAGGGGATTACCATGGCAACGGAAGCTGCTAAAAATAATCATAAGAGGACCGGGGCTGCCTGTGTTTCTCTGAATGACGAGCTCATTACAGATAAGCCCTACAAGGCGAACCTAAAGAGATTCTCCACCTTTCTGCCCTAGAACATGAAAAGGCTACAGATGCTTCCTACTTGCTCATGCACTGCTTTAGATCTCTATCGTATTTTGCAACGACCTCAGCCTTTTATCATTGTAATTACCTATAAGATCCGGTATCTACATTTTGTTTCTGAAGCTGCCTGAAAAATCTTAAGACTGCCGTGCTTCTGCCTAAGAGCAGTGAGCTGCAATGTGAACAGAGAACGCTCACCCAAGCCAGCCAGTTGTGGTTAATGGGCAATGTTCTTAAATTTTTAGGGCCTACCTCAACTCAATAGGCATCCCAACACCAACTCAATAGGCATCCCAACACCAAGTATTCTATGCAGATAAAAGTGGTGGGTTGGGATGGTTGTTTTCTCCTGAGATAAGCTGGCAGCCGAGTGCTTCTCCCTCCACTGGCCAAATATGCACGTTTGACCAGTGTGATTGCAAGATGTTCATTTGTAAGACATACCAGGCCATCTGAAATCTCTAGGCCAACACATCTAAGGTCTACAAGCCACTGTAAGTTTGTACCCCACTATCTGAAGTCTATGGGCCACCAAACGAGGTCTGTAGGCCACCATCTGAGATCTGTAGACCAATGTAGGATTATATGCCACCATCTGTTCTGTAGACCACAGTAGGAGGATAATATGCCACCATCTGAAGTCTGTAGACCACTGTAGGATAATATACCACCATCTGAGGTCTGCACACCACTGTAGGAGGATAATATGCCACCATCTGAGGTCTGTAGATCACTGTAGGATTATAATGCCACCATCTGAGGTCTGTAGACCACTGTAGGATTATATGCCACCATCTGAGGTCTGGAGACCACTGTAGAATGATAATATTCCACCATCTGAGGTCTGTAGACCACTGTAGGATGATAATATGCCACCATCTGAGGTCTGTAGACCACTGTAGGATGATAATATGCCACCATCTGAGGTCTGTAGACCACTGCAGGATTGATATGCCACCATCTGAGGTCTGTAGACCACTGTGGAATTGTACACCAATAGGCCTGTGGCTTTGCTCTGCATGAGGAAAGTACAGGTTTGCTTTTGAGCAATAAACATCTCAGATGTTTCTCTACTCTACTAAAGTTGCATTTTTGCTTTTATTTCTGTCTCCATTGGAAAGATTTCCCATTACTTCCTGTCTCACTGAGCCCTTGTGATTGGGACAGGAAATCAAGAAAAATCAGGAGACGTGAGACTACCCTCCCTGCACATCCAGCAACCCACTGAGAAAGATTTGTGCTGGGAAATGTATGCAACCAACACGTCATTCAGCCTAACAGTGTCTACCTAATTTTTAAAGCCGCCTGTCATTGGAATGAACTCATATCTGGACTATTATATCACGATGAGACGCTTCAGGTCTACACATTTACCCTTTCATACATTTAGAGAAAGAAACTGACAACATGCAATAAAAGAATATGATATATTGGTGTAACTCACCCAGCAGAGTACACACCAACGGTCTGCTCGGTACATTCTTGTCGGCTGGCTTTTTCCGATGCCTCATTGGCTGCAAAGATTTAGATCACAGATAGTAAGATAATGCAAATAAGCAGATGTTTCCCTTCTTTACTATCATCCCTAGACCAAAACTGGCAGTTAACCCTTGCAATGCAGGGGTAGCCCCATTGGTTTTATTATACCCGGAGTTCTTCTTTAAACACTTATCAAAAAAATTAAACTGGACCCAGAATAGAGCATGTTGCTCTGCTGCAGACATAGGCAACCATCCTTTGAATCAATCTCTGAGTATAGACTGAATCACCCAGGAGCTATATTCTGATATAGGAGGATTAATGGCCCCCAAACATGTTGGCTGCCACTATTGTCCTGGTTATTGTTAGAAGAACAAATGAAAAACTTTTTGGGCTCTTAGAACCTCTGTATGGCACCGTTGGTTTATATACACATAAGCTTCTTTTCAAGTCAGGTGACCCCCAACCTTCCTGCTTTGTGGAGAGCCGCTGAACACAAGCCATGTGGCTTCATTAAAAGCCCTTATTCCCATCATGTTGGGGATCCGTAGCCAGCTCCTCACTTCCACTTTCCCCTAAAGTTCTCAAAACCTATGGGCAGCTTTAATTTTATCCATGATAAATGGCTAGCATGCATCTAAAGGGTGGAGGCTGCAGACAATGTTGCCAACCTCTTTATGTGGCAGTAGGACCTCTAGACTTAGCCCTTGGTACAGTAACAAACATTCCCCTTCAACACAGAACCAGATCAGCGTTTGGCGGCAGGAGCAGCCAGATATTTAAGTATGTACAGTCTTCCATTACAGGTATGACTTGCTTAAATAACTTTCCTATAGCGACAGGGTTGCTTTGGAGTATTTGTATATTTTTACCATGCACTACAAAAACAAGGCCTCAGTGACCTCTGTAGCTGCAGGCATTGTGGAGAAATTAAATCTTCAAACTTCACAACAGAGGCACTGAAATCACACTCCTGTGCTGGGACAGGTCTAGTTTGGCACTTTAAAATCCCTACTGATTAGCCAGGGAATTACAAGAAATGTATACTCACTGTCCACATATACCACTTGTTATAAAGGGTTTCGAAAACTTCACAGGGTATAGAAACATTACAGATATTTGTCTTTTGGAGGGCCCGATGTTTGTCTGTTCATAACTGACAAATATTTATTGCTAGTGTACGTGTACAGATTCGACAGAGATCGCACTAACCATTCTGTGGAGGTTCACGCGGAAGTTCATGTTGTCGTCGTGCAGAAAGGCATTGACATATTGGTCCTGTGCAGACACATGAGAAGTAAAAACCATTAACTGCAGTTACTGCAATCCACATCAACAACAATATGCGGGAACATTTCGTATCCTCTGAGGGAACGCAAAGAATCAACTGCAAACCACAGCTAATGGGGAGGAGAAGAGGACATGGCTGCTCTACAGAAATGAACAAGGTGTTCCTTTACCAGTATACTTGTAAGGTCTGCTGCTGAAATAAAGATTAAAGAACTATGGGGTTAGGGCTTTTCCCCATAGTTCTCCTTAGGGTAACAGGAGGACACAAACTAGCGTCCTCCCGTCACCCTAGGCTCAGTATACCGCAAGCTACAGCTAGCGGGATACTGAGACGCCGCAGCTGAAGCGGATCCCGACAATTATGTCTGGATCCGCCCAGCTGCGTGAGTGACAGCTGGCTCTGCCTATCTAGAGGCAGAGCCAGCCGTGCCCGGCCCCTCCCCCGTCCGTTCCGCGAGTGAGCGCTGGCGGATTGGAGCGGGGAGGGGGGAATCCAGCCCCTATCCTGTCACGGAAGAGAGCCGTGACAGGATCGAGAAGTGAGCGAATGCCGGTATGTGTTCGCTCACCTCCCGATCTACTGAGCCGACCTGTGACAGTCTCATTGTCACAGGTCGGCTAGAACTATGAGGTGAGTGAAAAGCACTCACCTCATAGTTCTCCTTTAAGCATTTTAAAGGTAAGGAAAAAAAATAAACTTTTTTTCCCTGACTGTATTACGTACAAAAGATTTGTTGAGGGAAAGATCCTCTGTTCACACTTCACTTTAAAATTTATTGTAAATAAAACACGCTCCTGCCTGAAAAGATTGACAGCAGCGTCTAAAAAAAAAAACAACAAAAAAACAAACAAAAAAAAAAAAACAGGGCGAAAATCAATACAAGAAGCCACGATTGATGTCATGCGCTTTCCCGGATCGCAGCGGTCACCATGACTTATGAATGTGAGGGCAGACACCTTAGCTGTGACATTGTGCTGGGATGGTACAGCTTATTAAAGCACGATATACCCGTATGGAGGAATCAAAGCTGTGTATGTGTCATAAGGGGCTGTAGTCACTGTGATATGGCCGGAAAGGAACTGATATGAGAAAAGTAAAAATCGCAGGAGCCGCTATAAATCGGCTATATTAGTATATCGGAATATAGATACAGTACATGAAATACACTTTTGGATGAAAAGCTTCGAGCTTAAAGGTGACGGCACTTTGTTGGAAGTGTCAGCACCCATGTGCATATAGGAACAGCTTATGTGGCCGCTGACAATTCATATACTATTTATTCCAGTGTTCTCAGCCATTTGAGTTGTTTGTTTTTTTTACTACATGTTTTTATATAAGAATTGTTTGCTACACTATAGAAGATTTCTCTGCTCTTTTTTAATGAGCCATATTGCCCTGCACTGGTCCGTGGATTACTTTTTATTACATGCTCGGGCATTTGTGATACATTACTGGCGCCGTGGATGCTGTCGGAAGCTGTGTGTCAGGGTACCATGCACAGGCGTCCTCACACCTCATGCAGGTACCCACGCAGGATGACCAAATTAATATGCCCACACAGGATAGGGTTCTATGCACACAGTTTATTGGTTCCACATCAACAAAACTACAAACCCAACAAAGAGGGGCAACAGGCCTGCAGATGTACAGCAGGCCTCGGGATACCAGAAGAGTGGTCAGGTACAAGCCGAGTCGTTAACAGGAGGGCTGCGCGGTACAGGAACAGGATTCAACGGAGAGTGGTCGGGTAACAAGCCGGGTCGGTGACAGGTTTTCAGATAGGAAGCAAGGTTCAGGAAGCAGGGTTTCAGGTTTATGGGAATCAGTCAAGTGCAGGCGACACAAATACTGAGCCAGCTTCCGGACTGCAGGTAGGGCCTAAATACCCTCCCAGGAAGCACCAGGTGATGGGATGATCAGTCACAGCTGGGGCACACCCGCAGGTGAGTACTGGAGCTGCAGGTTCCTTACAGTCCCTGGCTGCTGGAGACACCCGCAGGCGAGCACAGGAACTGCAGGACATGGCTCCAGCACCACCTGGGGGTGCTCTGGATCCTGACACTGTGGGATGAAATTGTAAAGGCTGTATGTCACCTTTATTAGAGATACAGACATGTGCACAATTATAAGTAGCTCATAGTTGAAACCATCTCATTGCTGCGGCAGGTTCATTTAGGTATGTCACCATATCAGATCTAACAAAGCGGATTATAGTAAGACCTCCTGCATGGTATGCCGCCAGATTGGATCCTACAAAAGTGCGTTTAAAGGCAAACTATGAGGTGAGTGAAAATCACTCAACCTCATAGTTCGAGCCGACGTGTGACAATGAAACTGTCACACGTCGGCTCAATAGATCGGGAAGTGAGGGAACACATACCGTCGCTCGCTCACTCACTTCTCGATCCTGTCCCTGCAGAGAGCCGCGACAGTCATTCACGGCTCCCTGAAGCGATCCCCCCCCCTCCCCTGTCCGATCCTCCAGCGCTGACTGGTGGAACGGATGGGGGAGGGGGCGGGTACAGCTGGCTGTGTTTAGATCTGCGAAGGGGAAGGGTGGGTTCGTTTAGCTCAGCTGACAGGGGCAAAAATAATAAATGCACAGTGCCTAAAAGTGCAACTATTTTTTAACCTCCACTTTGCAAAGACAAAAGAGGCCCATGCGAGTATTTTCTACTCGAGCGATTGTCCTTTATTGTACACAGAGAAAATCTGTCTTCTTTGCAAAGCAGCTGAACGTTGAAGAGAGCAGCAAAATTACACTGGCATTAAAATGCACGGCGTGAAATAAAACGCTTATAAATTCTGGATATGTGATGCTTTATTGGCTCTGTGCCACCCACTATTTAGTAGAATTTACAAGAGACATTGCTTTTTGTGTCCAATCTTAAAGACTAATTAACTTTGACGCATTGCCTTGTTCCATTGGCTCGCTCCAACTCATTAGCTTTTAGATTCCGGAATTTCATTTTGTGCTTTCATAAGCAAATGTATTTTTAGCTGCTCTCAACCAGCCAACTCCTTAAGATACTTTCTGCAAAACATTGCACCTTCGCTATCTGGAAATATTAATGATGTATGATGTGGATAAAGGGGAATTTCAGCGCATACTACATTGTTTACAGACAGCACAGACCATTAACAAATTACGACTTTATTATGAATAGGTGTAAAGAGGCCTAAGATGAACCAGGGATCTGTTTGTTATTGTTATTTGCAGTGTGGTGCCCAGCCTAAGCAGTGGTACCAAAGCTGGAAAAAAAATGCAAGATATAATCAGCTCACGTGCGTCCAAACTGACCGAAAACAGAAAGAAAAAAAGCTGCAACAATAATTGTACATGATCCTGATGTGAGTAAAGAAACCGTGACCCACCTCAGCTATACAAGTAAGGATGATGAGGCAAAGCTTCCCGCTGTTCAGCCGATGTTCATCTACAAGAAAGGAATAAAAGTTAGTAATATATCGTCGGAATGGAGGCAAAAAGAGTCTAATACGTGAAAGGAGCGTTAGAAGCAACAAGGCGGGAAATTTCACAAACCAAGGCCATCTCCATGACTAAGATGGAACTATGGCTAAAACTTCTTTTTAGTTGTATCGGCATCGGCATTGATGGAGGAGCTTAGAGACCAACAAAGA